AAATTTCGTCGGAACGAAGTTACGGAAAAATCAATTAACAAACGGAGACGTAACAATACTACATCAAAATCCTTTTTTTTTCAATTTTGCTGAATATCAATGGGATTCTTTACAGAATGAGAGATTTGATTATCCTAATATATACAGGATGAAAGGAAAGGTAAATCTCTTTAACTTTAACCTTAGTTTGGTTAGTAAAACTTATACAATACTTGAATTTCATTTTCAATTAAAAATATACACGAAATACTACATCTAAAGTTATACTGCTAAGGCTATAAAATGTAGAGCTATGTAGTTTATCACATATGTTATTATCATATAGGATATGAGATGCCTTGAAAACAAATCCTAGTAATATCTATTTAGTAAAAATAATGCTAACTCCACTCTATGTAACAATAACAAATTAATTTATTTCTTCTATAACGTTTGCTACAGACTACATCCACTTTCACTTTAACATAAACTGTAGGCCTAAGTTCACAAGCAATGTTTCAATATAAACTGCGAGACTAATGATACACATAACTCACAAATAAACTTACTTACAAAGTTTTGTTGCCATAGGCACGATAACACTTGCTACTAAAAATAATTTGAATCACTCATTAACTTCTCAGTGAACTGAATAACTTTCAGTGGATTACAGAACTCAACCAATAACACATTAATTATTCATTAATTAATTGAACTTAATCATTAAATACTCATTATCCGCGCATTAATCTCTTACTGATTTACTGCTTCACTTCACTCGTGTTTATACCATACTCGCCTTTCACTCACTATACGAATTTTCCAGATAACATCTTGTTCCTCGAGTAAACGTCATACTTAAAACATTGAAATTAAAGCTTACAACAGTTTTGTTACAGCGATCTTATTAAAACAACGAAGAAAACTTCGTGTATTGATTTGAATAATTGGTTTATTAACCACTTAAACAAAATATTTCACTTTCCCAAACAATACCGGACTGAGGTCTAACTACGCAGTTTTTAGGCTGCACAGTCAGAGTCGGTCCTAGGCAAGATTGTGGCCTGTGCGAAAAATTGACAAGAACTGCTAACTGCAATGTTCAATTTGGCACTCCTTGGGATGGACGCCCTGTGCGAGGGCACATATTGTTCACCCCAGCGCCCGAGTCCCTACACAATCAAGTTGTTGCTTTCATACCACATTTTTATTGATTCACTTAAGAGACTCTGCGACTCTCCAAAACTTCATATGCTG